AAAAAAAAAAAAAAAAAAAGACAAACTAATCAGTAAAGTCTGTTTGTTTTCCTCTCTACTGCTCTATTGCTAGGGTTGTGCTAATAAGGAAGGGTGGCAAGTCTTTTAAACTGCTTTTATCTCCCACTGGCATGTAATTAATTCCTGGTACTTGTCCTAAAAGCCACTTGCTCTTGGCAGAGGCGCCCAGACCTGGCTGCACCGAGGGAAGGAGAGCCAGGTCCTGCCGTGGCTGTGCCCTAGGACTGGGCATGAGGGCAGGAGCGATGTGTCAGGGTGTGTTTGTGTGTGTCTGCGTGTGCTCTGCCCCTCTAAACCGGCCCCGGGTTCCGTTTGGCTGCTCTGGCACCCCAAAATTAGCTGTAGGACCCCCGGGCACCTGTGCTTCACAGGACATCCTGGTCCTGCAAAGTCCCCCACCCCGACAGGGGATACTAACCTGGTGATAATGTAAGGACCAAAACAGATCACGAACGACCCTATAAAAATACTGATTTTCTTGGTAGCCCGCTGCCTTCTCCGTTTCTGCTCGTTCAGACAGCGCTGCTTCACACTAAGAACGGAAAAGAGCGGTGAGGGTGTTAAGGCAAGAAGGGGCGAGGTGAGACGTGAGCCCGAGAAGAGGGGAAGGACCCTCGCCAAGCCCGAGAGCTGTGCCCGGGAAGGGAAGGGSACAGGACGACAGCCCCCGAGGAGAGGAGGGCAGCCCCGAGGGAAAGGAAAGCAAACTCCCGGGGGAGAGGAGCGCAGCTCCGGGGGAAGGAGGGCAGCCTCCCGGGGGACGGGACAGCAGTCTCCCGGGGGAGAGGAGGACAGCCCGGAGAAGAAAAGGATAGCCCCAGCCYCGGCGAGCCTCGGGACGATCGCACTCAACAAAGCAGCGGCTCCCGCTGAAAGGCAAGTGTGCCAACCCGGAAAGCACGATTAGCATTTAAACAGAGAAGGCTGCAAATGCACAAGCCACCGTTCCTGGCACTGTAAGCAGTGTCTGAAACTAGAGGCAGAAGCGCTCGCCYGCGGCCGGGGCAGGCAGGAAGGGGTGCTGGAGAGGCGGGATATCGTTTCCGAYAGGGGTAACTACCGCGAGTGACCCGGGGCTGCGAATCCGAGCGCGCACACATTACCTGGGGTGGATATCCACCAGCAAAACCAGAGTCTGCATGGTAATAATGTCTATCCGCTTGCAGTGGAACCGGGCAACTTTTAACACCTTTAAATAGGTGAAACACAAGATMACCAGAGACAGCATGAAACTGGTCGAGTGAAAGACAATGGTGAACACTGTAAACCTTCTCCGCTCTGTCTCTTCCTTCAGGTGTAAGGTGCAAGAGGCATAAACGCTGTTGTAATCTACCCAGGAGTAAAACAAGGATACCAAGGGGAAAGTGAGGGAGTGGAGCCACGAGTAGCCCATCAGTATCACAGCGTCCTTATACCGCATCTTGCTGGTGTAGCTCAGGGGGAACACCACGGCAATCCATTTGTCGATGCTGAGCGCTGCCATGCTCAGCATTGTGTTGGAAGTCAGGAAAGTTTCCAGGAAACCCACCGCCTTGCAGACGCAGCCCCCGAGGGGCTGCTGGTTCCTCAGGATGCCCAGCAGGGTAAAAGGCATGTTCAGAACGGTGAGAAGCAGGTTGCAGAAGGATAAGTTCACCAGGAAAACCCCGGCGACCTGCTTGCGGATCTCCGTACTGTAGACGAAGCATAGCAGCACCAGGAGGTTGGAGAGCAGCGAGACAACCAGCACCAGCACGAGGAGCAGCGCCAGCAGCACGCCTGCCAAGTCCATCTCTCAGCGGGTCGCCAGGAGCGGGCGAGGGCAGGAGGAAGGGGGCACCCGCGCCGGCACCGCAGCCTCGCCTGCCGCACAACGAGACCGCCCGCGCATGGTGCCGGCAGCGGGGCAGGGGCCGGGGGCAGCGCCGGGGACAGCAGGGACAAGGGACAAGGGCAGGGGGGGCGAGCGGAGCCGAAGGTGCAGAGAGAGGGGCGAGGGGAGCGGGGCTGGGCCGGCCGGGGCACAGGGGAGAGGACAACAGGGACAGCAGGGCTCTCTGACAGGCAGTCAGGCAGCGGGAGAGCGGGGAGCGGGGGGAGCGTGGCCGGAGCCGAGGGCAGGGGAGAGAGATAGCGGGGAGATGGGGGTAGCCGAGAATGGGAGCGGGAGACAGGGGGGCCGGGATGCCGGGGGAGCCGGGGTGAGCGGGGCCCGGGGAGCGGGCCCGGGGCTGGCGGGGCCGAGGCGCGGTGCTGGCCGAGCGCTGTCCGCGGTGCTGGAGCGGCTCTGCCCCGACGGCCGCCCCGCTCTCCCTCAGCCGCGCAGCGGGGCCGCCCCGCTCTCCCTCAGGCCGCTCAGCGCAGCCCGCCCCGCTCCGGAGCCCTTGCCCCCTCCATGCCCCGCCGCCGCTCCGCTCCGCCGGGCGCACGGCCTCCGCAGGCTCTGAGCATCTTCCCCCGTGCCCAGCCCCTCAAATACTCCAGCCGCGGAGCCTCCCGCAGCGACTCATGCGCAGACGAGCGGCGGCGAGGCACAGGCTCAGCCAGGGATCGCGGCGTCGGGCTGATCCACTCCCGGATCGCGGGCGAGAGCGGCAGGGAGCGCAACTTTCCGCTAGTGTGCCGTCCGGGAAGGATCAGACCTGGAGATGAGTTGCGGGTAGTTTGATCCCTGTGCTGTGTTCAGGCACGCCCTGAGTTCACTGGCTGCATCCGGCGCTCCTGAAACCTGTCCAAAATCTGCTGTCTGTGCCCCTTGGCAGGCTTTTCCCTTTCCTCCATCTGAGGGATTGCATGCCCTTTTTCCCCCTACAACGCTTGCTATGATTGCCCTTTGGGTATTCACACCACAACCCCGCTGGCCAGCAGTGAGGATGTGTCTTGGCTAGAGATTCTGCTTTGACTGCTCCSACTCACCAGCTGGTTGAACAAGTGCCCACATTAAGGTGATGCTGTCACATTCTGTGGAAAGCTAAAGTCTCTTCAYCATTTTCCAGTCACACTGATAACATGATAGTGTGGTGGTCAGAAAGGTTCTCTCTGTTATCACATTATGGCAAAAGCTGAAAAGACAGACATGAAAGAGAACAGAATTTCCCCCTCTGCAGCTGTCAGAAATGTGAATCACATGGCTTATTCCCAAAGATGCCGTGAATCTTTGTCTTAGATTAAAAAAAA